CAGGGTTGTCCCTAGGAATCCGAGGGAGCCCTGGCGGAATCTTTGGTGTTCTGGATGAGGTCGTAAACAAGGCAGATGAGAACTTGCTCCAGAACCCGAATTGAGCCGAGACACCTCAGCAAGTGTTTACGTGTCTCCTTGGAGTTCATTTGCGTCTTGGACAAGAGACCCGGCAGGGTTCCTGGTTCATTGCGAGTGTTTGGGTTGAGAGGAGATGGGACGGATCAGCACTTGGGTCCCCTGTTACCTCGGTCCTTGTCCCCACAGTGCGCTGGTTGCTCTCCGACCAGGGTGGGGAACAGGGCTGACTGGGTGCTGTTAACCTTTGAGATGTCTGAGGTGGGGGGAGGACAGGATGAGGCAACCCTTAGTGGCGCCTGAGTACCGAGGAGGGAGGACCCTGGACCTGCTGCAGGCGAGGCGTGGCCGTGTTTGCGTTCCAGGGTTGCCGGGTTTAACTTCTGTGTCTCCCTGTGTGCCCTTTGCTTGCCCTCACCCAGCTGCGTGAAGGCAGCCGTTTCTGCCCAGTCTCCCTCTGCTGGGCTGCCGGGGAGGGGGCGTGCAGGCCTTGTCCCACTGTGGGAGTTTTAGCAGACACATCTTCATTTTTATTTTTTTAAGATTTTATTTATTTGAGAGAGAGAGAGAGAGCACGCGCGCATGAGCAGGGGGAGAGGGGGAGGGAGAAGCAGACTCCCCGCTGAGCCCGATGCAGGACTCGATCCTAGGACCCCAGGATCATGACCTGAGCCGAAGGCAGACGCTTCACCGACTGAGCCACCCAGGTGCCCCGAGACATCTCCCTTTATAATCCAAGTGCCTCGCAGAGATGAGGGTGGGTGAGACCCCTCCTTGCCCACCTTTTACTCCCGCCCCCTGTGCCCCGCAGTTGGGCACGTGTACTGCAGTGGGCCCCATCGCTGTGGCTGTCTCTACTGGCCTGGTTCCCCGCTGTGTTCCTGTCCTGAAAGGCCAGAATCTCGGGGACCCCTTTCCCCAGCAGCACTCCTGTGCGTGCCCTGTTCTCAGAGCCCCACTGGTTGTTTTTGGAATGGTCCTGCCTCTTTGGCCCTCATGGTCGACTTCGTAAGCGAGAGACCAGAAATGGTACCATTGAGGCACTGAGCTTGCTCTGTCCTCCCTCCCTCCATTTTGCTTCATGTCCCCACACCTTCAAATAAAAATGGAAAATCCTGGGGTCGGGTCACCCGCTGCCATTGAGAACCCCAGGCATGAGAGTCATTCATGAGCCTCCACTCTTCTAGAAGGGTCAGGTCTGTTCATTCATGACCAGGGTAATTAAATAACTCTTTGTAAGAGGCAGGGAGCTCCTTGTTAAGTGGTCTTCCCTAATGCAAGTGCAAACACAAGTAAAATCCTTTCCCTTCTCAACAGCCACCCCCCTTCCTTTTAAAGGGTAGATTTTTATGCTTTAAGGGAAATGAAGAAGGGGAGGGGGAAAACAACCTTAAAGGAATTTTAGGCGGATTCAGCATTTTTCTGGGGTTGCTCCAAAAATTCCCTAAACTGTAATAAAAAGAAAAAATTGTGATCAGGCATCTGATTAGTTGGCTTTTTACAACACAGCTTTTCTTTTGGATGCTTTAAAATGCACAAATACGGTTTTAAAACAAGCCCCTGTATAGTTTTCAGAGGAGGGAGAGAAGTTGCTGAAAATACCGGAAAAGGTTGTAAAGCTGAGGGGAGTTAACAAGGGCCTGTGAGTCTTGCCTTTGGCTTCTCCTCATGGAAGCCAAAGTCAGGCTTCTGAGGCTCTTCCTTAGCCCTGGGAATGAGGGAGCCTTTTCTGTGTGAGAGCCTCCCCGCTCCTCCCCGTGAGGCCAGGGAAGCCCCTCTAGGAGCTAAACGTTCGCACAGACCTTTGCGGGGAGACGCTTGTGGGCTGTGGCCCAGTTCAGGGAACTGTGCTTCTCTGAAGAAAGATGATGCTGAGTGTTTCCCAGAAATAGCCCAAATGGTGGGGAATTTGGGGCAAAGCTCTGAGTTGGCAACGTGGGATGTTGTCCCGGGCCCCCAGAAATGGTAATGCGGTAAAGAGGCCTTCGCTGGTGGGATGGTTCCGCTGGAAGCATGTTCCTGTGCGCAGAGCTAGCCCGGGAGCAGTGAGCAGTAAGGAGAAGGGGTATCCGGGTGCTGGGAGGCTGGGGGTGACTGTGGGGCAGGACTGGGGCGGAGCCGGCGAGGGTCCTGCTGTGGCGGCCTAGGGCACCTAGTGGACTTCCAGGGGTCTTGTTCACGCACAGGGACACCCATATGCTGCTGGTGATCTGGGCAGGGCCATTAACCTCCACAGAAAAAGGCTTTTTCCAGGGATGTCTGGCAGCAAATTGCTGGGTGGACTGGCGGGCTACACAGATGAAAGAGAAATCCGCCAGAACTCTTCCCCCCCACCCCCCCCTGCCCCCAGGGCTCCCGGCCAGTCCAGCCGACCTCAGGCCCCAGTCCCCGCCCGGCTTCCCCTGCCCCCAGAGGCTGCTGGGCAGACGGGGCCCCCACCCCTTTCTGGTGGGCCTGCTTCGGGCAACTTGATCCCGGGCCCCCACCCTGCCCCTCCTCCCCATCCTCCTCTTCCCAGCTAGCGGGTGCCAGGTTTCAGGGGGGCCGAGCTCCATGAAACAAAGTATCGTGAGGCCCCACGGAGGGTCTCCTGAACCTTCCTCCCAGCAACTCCCCCAGTCTTCTTTCCAGACCAGGTTTGTTGTCCCGAGTGGGGATAATAAACGAGAGCTTCTTACATTTCAAAACACACTGCTCCCCAAAACAGCAAGGGAGTCGTGCCTTCCAGAAGAGGGCTTCCTCCTTCCCAGCAAACTTGCACGCCAGAGTATTCTTATTTACACGGATATTATGGGTCTTTGGTGTAGCCTTTAGAGCCAAACTCCCTCGACAAGAAAGTTCAAAGATTGCCAGCACTCACGAGTTTATTAGCAGTTGATGGATACTTTGCAGAAACAAGTTAATGCCTGATGAGTCACCTCTGCTTGGAGCCCTTGTCCCTCTCTTGTTTTTCCATATGTTCCAGAGTGTATGCACGCAAACACACACATGCTCACATAACACACTCACGTGTGCCTCACACTCAGGGACACGCAGCCTCTCTCACACTTGTGCTTTATAGGACCATGCTTTGGGGGTGACAGGCCAGTTTTCTGCGGTTGATTTTCGGGGGGCGATTGAGAGAGAGCAGGGAGCCCTCAGCTTCCCCATTTCGTGTAGCTGTCTGGGTAGGCGTTTGAGAAGGCCAGTTGTGTGTGTGTGTGGGGGGGGGGATGTCTGTAGGAGACAGTGGCCACTCAGGGTGGGCGAGTGTGTGGCTGCCTTTGTGGGTCACAGTGCACATTTGTACAGACTTACTCACAGAACACCTCCATGCAAGACAACTGCTGCTTAAAAAAAAAAAAAAAAAGTTAATGAAGCTGACTGGTTCCCAGGTCCTGACATGCCTGTAAAGTTTGGAAGCAGTTGTGTACAAAGCTGCCCTGGGTTTACCCAGCCTGCTGGAGCAGCAGGACATGGGTCCCTGAGCCCTCCTCCACCCCCAGCTGCCAAGCTGTATCAGCATCGACCCTCAGTTCCCAAACCAAAAAGGCCAGACAAACAAACAAAAAACCCATCTCACAGCCAACCCCCACCTTCAGGCCCTGAAGCCCCAGTGAGTGAGAAGCGAGGGCTGCAGGGGAAGGCAGGAGGCCTCTGCCGCCTGCCTTTCCCCATTTTTGTTAACAAATACAAGACTTCCGGTCTCCGCCCTGCCACCACAAACCACAGCGTTCCTGGTTCCTGCAGCCTGGCCCGGCCCGGCCGGGGAGATTTATGGCTCCCAGTCTCAGGCCTGCCCTGCTGGCTCCAGCTTAAGGAGGAGTTGGAATGCCAGCCGCTGGGGCTCCCTTTCCCTCCATATGATCCCCCCCAACCCCCCTTTAAAGAGCTCTGAGCGCCTGTTTAGGAAAGTCACCTTACCAGAATCACCTCAGTCTCCTTGCTGCCTGTGGGAAGAACCAAGTCTAGGGAAGCTGGGGGTGGGGGTGGGGGGGACCTGGAGGGGGCAAGGCAAAGTGTCTACATGCTTCTGGGGAGGGAGGGGGGAGAGAGGGGGTACAACAGGAAGAGAAGGGCACTTCAGGGAAGGTCAACCCATTGCAGACACATAATCTTCTGTCTGGGCTGGAGGAAGCTTCGTCAAGGTAGTCTGGGTTAACACCAATCTGCGTGCTGTCATTTGGCATTTTGACTGAATTCACCCTTTGTGTACAGAGCTGCTGCTGACAGATACACTGAGAGCTGAGTTTGTTCTATTAGGAAGGTAGATGTTTTGGCCCCAAACCACCTGCACTTTGATTTTTATCCGATAGCGCTCCTTTATAACCGAGGCACTGATCCGAGAGGCGCTGATCTGAGAGGTCGGTGACAGACACAGACACCGCTTAGTAGGGGACCCTGGAGTCTGGAGACCTGGGTTCTGGGTCTGGCTGTGTCATCTGTGGGGCCTGAGCAACAGGCTTTCTGGGTCCTGGTTTTCTTCTTGAGGAGGACCAGGGACTCTTAGAGAGCAAGCTTTTCAGGTTCCATTGAATTCAAAGGGCTGTAACTCTAGGCCATTTGGAAGACCTTTTTGCCCCCAAAAACAGGACCAGTGAAGTTACTAAGGGTTCCCTGGCTTCTGAGCTCTGCAGGGATGGGGCTTACTTTGGCCCCACAGGCAAACATGCTGGTGTCCTGGGTCCCTGACCAGTTGGGGGGAGTGGAGGGAGGAGGCACCCCATGAGCCCCGTGTTTAAAGGCGCGTTCTTCCATCACTGGGCTCCGGCACTAGGACTGCCGATCCCGACCGCTTATCCAGCACCACCATCACTTCCTCTGTCTAATGAGAGCTGAGGTGGTCTTGGGCTACGTGTGTATAGGTGTGCCTTGATTGGTGGAGGAAGAGGAAGACGCCAACCCCCATCACCACCAACCGTGTCTGCCATCTTGTTTTGTAGATTCCCAACTTCTTCTAGAGCCTGGGGATCGGTCACACTGGTGCGTGGTGGCATACTGGGAGGAGAAGACGAGAGTGGGGAGGCTCTACTGTGTCCAGGAGCCCTCCCTGGATATCTTCTATGATCTACCTCAGGGGAATGGCTTTTGCCTCGGACAGCTCAATTCGGACAACAAGAGTCAGCTGGTGCAGAAGGTGCGGAGCAAAATCGGCTGCGGCATCCAGCTCACGCGGGAGGTGGACGGCGTGTGGGTATACAACCGCAGCAGTTACCCCATCTTCATCAAGTCAGCCACACTGGACAACCCGGACTCCAGGACGCTGTTGGTACACAAAGTGTTCCCCGGTTTCTCCATCAAGGCTTTTGACTACGAGAAAGCATACAGCCTGCGGCGGCCCAACGACCACGAGTTCATGCAGCAACCGTGGACTGGCTTCACCGTGCAGATCAGCTTCGTGAAGGGCTGGGGCCAGTGCTACACCCGCCAGTTCATCAGCAGCTGCCCGTGCTGGCTGGAGGTCATCTTCAACAGCCGGTAGCCCCACGGGGAGAGGATGGGGCGGGAGCCGAGCCGGCCCAGTCCAAACTACTTTGCTGCTAATACTTTCCTCCCGAGTGCTTGCTTTTCACGCAGACTCCTTGGTCATCGTGTGTAGTTGTTGTTTCCCCCCCCCCTTCTTGTTCTTGTTTATGTTCTTTTTTGTTCTTTGAGAAATAGCTTATGAAAAGAATAGTCGGGGGTTTTTTGGGGGGGGTGGCGGGGTATGGCTGGTAGAACACCCCAGTAGGAAAAGGGGAAGCAAGAATCTGTACCACCAAACACACAAGGATGGGGGGCAGGCCCTCACTTTGGGGTCCTCAATTCCCTTGTCGGGGCGGGTGCGCGTGCGAGTGCGCCTGCGTCTGCGCATGCGCGTTTGTTTCTTCCGGGGGCGTCTGCGGGGAGGTCTGTGCTCCGGGCCCTGTCTCTCCTGCCCTTTGGACGTGCTCAGTGGGGCAGAGGCAGTATCTGGGCAAGCTGGCAAGCTGGTAGCTGGGGTTCCAACAGCTGCCAGAAGCCAGGCTCAGTCCCCGCTCCCCCCACCCCGTTTCTCCCCTCCCCTTCTAGGACAGGGGCCTGTCTGCAGGCTTCTTAGAAGCAGTGCTGCAAAGAGGCTGAACCAGAACCAGCTGTTCCATGCTTGTCTTCCTCCCGGTCCAGCCACCCTGCTGTCCTTATGTCTTTCTTTTTTGGCCATCTGCTCCTGGATATCTCCGAGATGGGCTTCCCGAGGGCTGCCCGGCCTCCCCGGGGCAGTATTGCCCACCCAGGGCCCCTCCCAAGCCCCTCAGCCTCTCCCCTGCCCTGGTCACATCAGGTTCCCCTCCCCTCCCCCCCCTACCCCACCCCTTCCCCGGACTCAGAAAACCAGCTCAGCACTTTGCTCCCCTCTGCCGTCTATGTGTTGAGCTCTGCTGTTAGACCAGCGAGGGGAGCAGTCCTGGGAGGGAGACTTCTCGGCAGCCCCCCTTCCCACCAAGAAGGATTCGGTCCATCGTAACCCAAGGTACCGCCCTGGGCTGACACCTAACTCTTTCATTTCTTCTACAACTCATACACTCGTATGATACGTTGACACTGCTCTTAGCTCAATGAGCATGTTTAGACTTTAACATAAGCTATTTTTCTAACTACAAAGGTTTAAATGAACAAGAGAAGCATTCTCATTGGAAATTTAGCATTGTAGTGCTTTGAGAGAGAAAGGACTCCTGAAAAAAAAAAAAACCCTGAGATTTATTAAAGAAAAAATGTATTTTATGTTATATATAAATATATTATTACTTGTAAATATAAAGACGTTTTATAAGCATCATTATTTATGTATTGTGCAATGTGTATAAACAAGAAAAATAAAGAAAAGATGCACTTTGCTTTAATATAAATGCAAATAACAAATGCCAAATTAAAAAAGATAAACACAAGATTGGTGTTTTTTTCTATGGGTGTTATCACCTGGCTGAATGTTTTTCTAAAGGAGTTTATGTTCCATTAAACAATTTTTAAAATGTATACTTGATTCCATGTCCTCCAGCTCCTTTTTTTTTTGTGGTGGGAGGGGAGTAGGGGGGAGCGTTTCATCTCAGCTGATTGGGAAGGAGGATGGGATGGGGAGGTATGGTCCCAGGAACCTGGGTCCCTCCAGTTTCCGCTTGTTACTCCTTACTTGACACCACATCCTGAGCCCCACTGCACCTTTCCCAGAGGAAGGTCACCGTCACACACTGGATTTCAAGACCGCTACCTTGGGGGCTGAAGACCTGGAGGGAAGGTTGATGGGAGTTGGGTGTTGATGGTGGGCAGAGGGATCACACCACCTTGTAGGTCCCTGCCAAGCTGTACCGGGCACTCCAGGAGGTGGAGTTGACTCCCGGCAACCCAGTCCAGGTCCTATTCTGCGATCTCTCCCCTATTCGTCCTGCAACCCTTCCCAGTGGCACTTGCTGCTGAATCACCTGGTCCTGCCCCTGGGACTTCTGCCGTTGGATCTAAGCCAGGTTTAGGATTCAAGGACTCTGGCACAAGCGATGGGTCCAAACTGGACACCAAACAAGGTTGTGCAGGTGTCTGTTTTGAACCTAAGATCCAGGGAGGGGGGTCTCTTTGAATTGGGGGTTATGGTTTTGGGATATCACAGGAGCGCCTGGGTGGCTCAGTTGGTTAAGCGTCTGCCTTCGGCTCAGGTCATGATCTCAGGGTCCTGGGCTCGAGTCCCGCATTGGGCTCCCCACTCAGCACAGGTCTGCTTCTTCCTCTGCCCCTCCCCCTGCTCATACTCTCTGGGTCTCTCAAATAAAATCTTAAAAAATCCAGGGGCGCCTGGGTGGCTCAGTTGTTAAGCGTCTGCCTTCGGCTCAGGTCATGATCCCGGGGTCCTGGGATCGAGCCCCACATCGGGCTCCCTGCTCGGCGGGAAGCCTGCTTCTCCCTCTCCCACTCCCCCTGCTTGTGTTCCCTCTCTTTGCTGTCTCTGTCAAATAAATAAAATATTAAAAAAAAAAACCCAAAACATTTTGGATATCACAAACTGATACATGATACAATTTTAAAAAAACCTTTTTGGAGGGCCAGAGTAGGATTATCAATACTCTATTTTGCCAAATGATGACACAGCCCTACGGCCTACTGGCATCGCCAGCTCATTTAAAAGAATTACAGTTGTGTAGTGAGAAATATTAATGCATGTTCATTTATGCTTGAGCAAGAGTGCCAAATGGTCTGGGCCAGCTTGTTCACATGAGGTAATGGGGAGCTCACTACCTCTCCAAGCAGCTTTTGCTTTTTATCAGTTGAAGTGAAACCCACCTCCATTCTATTCTGCAACCCAGAATAAGTGTAAAATTCCATTGTCTGGAAAACACCCAAGAAGGGTTTTAATTAACTCCAGGGTGGTAGTGGTGGAGGAGGGGTGGGGATGGGAGGTGTTGGGGAGCCCGCAAAGCCATTTTCGTTTGCTTTGACTTGCATCGGCCTGCAGGAAGCACTTTAATAATAATAATTGCCACTTACTGGATGTGTAACCAGGTGCCAGGCACGATGCTAAGCTAAGCATTTAAGGGAATTACTTAATCCTCACCAGGACCCCTCTGCAAGAATGTGCGAGAAGTTAAAAGACTTTCCCAAGGTCACTTAGGGAGGCGGCACTTCCAGAGCTCAGGATCTGACTCCGGGGTTGGGTGATCTTCGTCCTTGGTCCCTGTGGAGATGTTTATTTGATGGAATCCTGTGTGGTGACAGCTCCAAAACTCAAGCTCAGGAGAAGGTGGGCCACCATGATGCCACCGCCCGAACAGCAGGGCCTCTGATTCAGGAGGCAGAAAGCTGTCCCCCTGTGTTGTCCGGACTTGACTTGCAGCCTCGGGAGGCAGGAATTGGGGTGAGGGCGAGTGGCTCCCGGTGGCATGGCTGGCTGTGGGTGGGCAGGGAGAGAGGAATGTTTAGGGGAAGCCGGGGGTTTGCTGGTAGCGGACACTCCTCTCCTGGCCACGGTGGTCATCCCCCGCAGTCCTCCCCGTGAATACCACCCACGTGCCAGGACTGCTGTGGGGGGCACCTGCCCTCGGGGGACGCTGGAGGACAATACACCCACCCACAGGGGAGTGCGGCCAGTACCCTGGACCACCTGGGCCTCGCAGAGGAGGCCGGGCTTCCAGAACAGCTGGGGATTGGATTAGTGGAGGGCAGTAAAGGTGCCCCCATTGGAAGAAAGCTTTCCGGCTGCCTGGTTCTTCTCCTTTGTCTCTCAGCTCACCCCTCACATTTTGGGGTGTCTTACAGGGTTCTGCCCTCTCCCTGGGCAGCCCCATCACTCTGGCAGCCTTATCTCCCCTCACCTGTGGCTACCTCAGCCGCAACCAGAAACCTGGGTTCTCTCATCTCCCTGGCTGCCATGGTGAAATAACCAAATCCCATCCTCCCCTGCCTTATTCAATCTGTAATTAGAAAATGCAAATCCCTCTCACCCATGTTCACTTCTTGGACTCCACTCGTATGACTCAGTTCAGGGCCTTGTGGTGTCTCCGTGGCCTGCCTTCCTCCAGTCCCCGTGGCTGGCCTTTTGCACCCACCCCTGCAGACCTCACCTTTTAACCTCCTCGCCCCAGACCCTTGGCCCCAGAAGACTCAAACACACCTTGCTCCTGTGCTTCCAAGCAAGTGCTTTCCAGCCTCTTCATTGGCTGTCTCTTCGGGCTCCTTCAGGATGTAACTCAGGCCACACCTCCTCCAGGAAGCCTTCCCCCTTTTTAAAATGTCTGCCCCAAAGAGCCATTGCCGGTGTAGGATTTTCTCTCCCCTACTGAGCCCATGGGCTCTTGGCACTCGGAAGCCTCGGTTGGGGCCCCACTTAAGACCTGCTATCCTAACAATTCCCGGCACAATGCTAGACAGGGCTTGCCCCATGAATGAGGCAGGGGGAGGCAGGGGGAGACTTAGCTTGGGCTGGGAATAGTAAGAATGCCAATCAGCATTGATTGTGTCCTGACTATGTGCTAGGCAGTGTTCCAAGCATTCCAAGACCAAGCACATTGGAATGATCCTGTCTAATCCTTACAACCGCCCTTAAAAAGAGATGCCATTTTACGGCTGAAGAAACTGAGGTTCAAAGAGTCATGCAAGTCCCCCAGCCGGTAAGTGGCAGTGTCAGACTTTACGGTCTCTCTGCTACCTAATCTCTAGGGGCAGGCCTGGGGCATAGGGTGACTGTGTTGGGCACGTTTTTTTTCTAAAACAAGTCCTGGTTTGGAAGGACCGAGCTGATCTGATTGCCAAACAGTAGAAGCGATGTTTGTGCACCAAGGCCTTGCCGGTGTGTGCCCCCTGCAGCCCTGCATGGCAGCAACGCAGGCAGGCCCGGGGCGGGGGGGGGAGCCAGGGCGGCGGGGGGCGGGGGGGCGGGGAGCCAGGCCTCTAGCAGCCGAGGAAGGCTGGTATGGCGCTCGAGTCCCGCACTCGCAGCCTCCCCGGCGGGTCGGTCAGGCCCCACACTCAGCCTGCCGAGGAGCTTTCTGTCAGGGAGCTTGTTGGCAGGGCAACAGCTAGAAGCAGGGCTTATGAATGAGTGAGCGTGGGGGCAGGTGGGACGGGGTCTGCCTTGAAACAGGATGTGACTCACGGCCCTGGGTGTTGCAGTCGGACAGACCAGGGTCTGAGTACTTCCTTGGGCAAGTCACTTAACCTCTCTGAACCTCAATTTCTGAAACAAAGTGGACATTTTACCTGCCTCGTGGGCCCAAGAGGGGGGATTAGTGAGAAGATATATCTGAAGATCTGTGGCCGTATGTTAATTAGGCTGAACCACGTGGGACGGCTAATATCGGACCATTGTGACCTACAAAGAGGGCAATTTCATATCGTTTAATCTGCTAGATGCTCAAGTCAAGG